ATTCCCTGGAGGAGAATCACTTCCAAGGCAAAATCAAAAGCATCCCTTTAAACAATAAAGGAATGAATGGGATTTGGATGACAAATTAGAGACTGGGAGATAAAAGCTTGTTTCACTGCCAAAAATGTTTAGAACTTGAATGGGATTCCTTTCAGGGGTGGGTTCTACTTATCTTTACTACCGGTTCGCAATGGGACCACTCATGCGATAAGTTTGATTGAACTCATGAGAAGGTTTTCTTTTACAGCATGTTTCCCTGGACACCACGGCAAGGAAAGTGACGGAGCTTGAAAGGTAAGACCTGCGTCCCACTTCTCGCCCACCTCACCCAAACTGCATCCCTAAAAAGGGCAGGTGGCTAAGCAAGGGGCAGGAGCCCTTGCATGCCCGGCAAGGGGGATTGAGAAGAGATGGCAAGGGGAGTCACATCTAGCTCCATGTGTCTTGCTTCTCCCCTGCCCCACCTGCCACCCCTCTCGATAAAGAGACGGCAGGGAAGGGAAGCAGCCAGGCTGCTGTTGCCATTGGAGTGGGGTGGGACATATTGGGCCGCTCAGCCAGTGTGAAGAACAGGGAGGGGAGGGCATGTCCACCCCTTCCCCCCCTCAACTCATTTTGGTTGTGTGGCAAGCAACCAGAGGAAATGGGACCAGCTGCGCATGCGTGTAAGTAGTTGGTGGTGGGCTTATTTTGCGGGGGGGAGGCTTATATTATTGCATGCGCTGAAAAGCCCGATTGGGCTTATTATCCGGACATGTCTTATTTTCAGGGAAACACGGTAGTTAAAGTTTGTTTGCAGCAAGAAGCACTTTATTATCTGGACTATCCCTCAGAGCCCTTTATTAATTAGAATAAAAATAGGCACATATGATCAAAATTAGAAAAAAAAATTATTATATATTACCTAGAATGATACATTGCAAGAGAGATCCTGAAACATTCTTGACACAATGAATATCCACTATGTTCATCCATCAGCCTTATTATTCAGAGTGAATTTTGATCAAGGAGAAAGTCAAGTATTCAAAGTTTCTCCATTTTCTATGTAAAATGGAGAAGCATTCTGCTAAATCTTTCTGGAAAAGTTAGAATATTTTAATATTTCCAGAAGATTTGATCTCCGTTGTGTTTGTCTGGGGGTTTTCTACTTGTTTTTTTACTAAATAATCTTAATGATGGAGATGGGCAAAATCTTATCTACAAGCTTCCGAGGCCAATGAAAATATTTATACCTGATGGACTCTGAGAAAACTCCCTATTTTCAAGGCATTCCAATTCATAGTTCTAAGAGAAACTCAGTATCGTACAACAGCTGGTCTATAAAGCTAAAAGCTGCCACTTCTAGATTTAGATATTTGGTATATTCTTGTCCAAGATTTTTTTAACGTATAATTATGTTTTGAGAAAAGTCACACTAAAGATTTTTGAGCATCACAAAAAAAAAATTCACTTCAAGTCTTGAATATTGTTAGTAGATTTAATAAGTATGGGTTTTTTTTAGCAGGGCTATTGTGCAATAGTAGTAGCCAAAATACAAATCACCAATCATTTTGAAGAAGCAGAAAAGTACATTATTCAATCTATCCATAGCTTTCTGGAAGAAAAAGTCATTAGATTAACACATTAATAACTTCATTTTTTAAAAGGAAATCCACAAACATGGCTTCTCATATATTTTATTTATGAGCCTATTAGAACCAGCTTGCTTGAATAACTTGGCATTAAGAAAAAAATATATCAGACAGAATCAGAAAGAGAAACAGAAAAAGTGAAAGCAATTTTTAAAAATGATATTTATCATGCTTGTTCAATGTGTTTCAAAGTATGTATATATTTTCATTTAGAGGCATCTGCAACAGCAGCTATATAACCAATCTTTCAAATGCAAGCTAAATAATAATAATTTAAAAATAATCTTTTTAAATAAATAATACTGAATTTTAAAATGTTCTAATTCATTCCAAATTGAATATGAACATATTTTTAAAACAACAAGTTATTGAATAAAGATTTTCATCAAAAAAAAGTGACATAGAAAGGAATAGAGCATTTAAATGTGGTGTTATTTTAAAATGACATCCTAATTTTTCAAGAGTTGGATGCTGCTGGACATAGCTTAAATCCAATAGAAGAGACTACATGTAGTTTAGGATTGAACTGTGGAGTCCTTGCTGTTCTTTGAATGTTTTGCTTCAAATACACATTCACACATAGTTGCTATGGAAATCAGCAGTTTACTCAAGATAACATCAGACAAGAAATGCAAACCAAAACAGAGTCTCTGAAAGAAGCTTGTCTGGGCGGTTTTGCTTTTAACAGAAGCTCACAGAAGAATAGTCAAAATCCAGTCCAAATTTCCAAGAGTCAGATCATGGTAGGTTAGCCAGACCAAAGGTCAGAATTTCACAAGCAAAATCCACAAGAACATCACACAATAGCTGGAGAGCAGCTGGTTGATTCCAATATTTTTTTTATTTATTTATTTATTTATTAATTTGATTTATATGCCGCCCTTCTCCGAAGACTCAGGGCGGCTTACAATGTGCTCAGCAATAAAGGATCATTGGTCAGATCTGCCTCTTAAGCAGGCTGCAGCCAGCTGTCTTTAATCAGAAGATTTACTTCTGTGATTATAAGGAATCTCATAGAATGTCTCTGTCCCACTCTACTTGCAGGGTGTGTGGGCTTGGTGACCTTATCTGACTATTTCAGCTGCTCAGATTGGATTTAGGTTTTTTTGGTTTCAGGTAATTCTTGCTTTTGTGTCTCCTGAGGCTGACATTCCACAGTTTCTGATGGAGCAGCTTCTTCACACTCACAGTCAGTGTGGTTATGATGTTATTTAGTTAGGTAATGTAATGTCTTCAAGAAAACAACCAAGCTAAAAAAACACCAAGAACTCCATAATTTAAATCAGCTGATATGCCAACAGAAACAGGACATATATTTTTTTGTGTTTACGGTTCAAAATTTCATACATTTGTACCTGCTTTCATAGAAGTTACTTACTGGATTTAGAATGATAGTATGGCATCATTTCTGTATTTTGGGACAGCACATTATCAGAATAACAGAAAGTAAGGGACCTTGGAGGTTTTTTAGTCCAACCCCCAAGCAAGCAGGAGACCATACATCATTCCAGACAACTGGCTTTTTAAAAGCCTTCAGTGATGGACCACTCTCAACTTCTGAAGACAATATTTATTTATTTATTATTTATTCAATTTATATCCCACCCTTCTCCAAGTGGACTCAGGGCAGTGCACAGCCAGAATTAAAACACATATCAATACAAAATTTAAAATTATTAAATAACTGTGGCCCAAAAATTTAAAACATTGAAAACCAAAACCCATTTGACAATTTAAAAAGTTAAAAAGACTAAAAAAGGGGGGCGGGTTTCCACGCCAGCCCTGCTTAATGGAAAAGAAAAGTTTTTAGGGCACGGCGAAAAACCCGGAGATCCGATATCCTTCGTATCTCCAGGGGCAAATCGTTCCAGAGGGCAGGAGCTGCCACAGAGAAGGCCCTCCCCCTGGGGGTTGCCAGCCGACATTGCCTGGCTGACGGCACCCTGAGGAGTCCCTCTCTGTGGGAGCGTACTGGTCGGTGGGAGGCTATCGGCGGCAGAAGGCGGTCCCGCAAATACCCAGGTCCCATGCCATGGAGCGCTTTGAAGGTGGTGACCAACATCTTGAAGCGCACCCAGAAAACCACTGGAAGCCAATGCAGCTCACGCAGGATATTAAATATTAATATTAAAGGATTAAAGATCACTACAGCTCTAAGCAGCATGCAGGCACTTTTTAGCACTGACACAAATTTATATACAAAAACATAGTTCAGATTATAATGTATATGAGTGGATCTAACAATTCGTAAGACTGAGGATAAAAACTGACTGATACCATGGTTTAATATATGAGCCGAAATTCTGTAAGAATCCCAACTAGATAATGAAGTGGTGCTGTGAACAGATCACAATGAGTCCTGAATTGTGTGACAAGGTACAATAAATCTTTTTTTTTCCTGCCCATGCTGTTTAATTTATGCAAGTAAATGGCTCATTTCACTGTAGAACTGCTGTTGTTCCTCTGATTAAATAAACAAACCTGGAGGGAACAAGTGGAAATAAGATAACCCTATTGCCTGGCACCTGTACTTGACATATTGTACTGAAGTTGATATAGGTCTACAGCTGAGCAGGCACTGGAGAGGAGAAAAACGTTGTGGGAATAAAATATTGCTTTTGTCTTTTTTTTCAGTAGTGGGGGCAGAGAAAAGACAAGCAAACTATAAGTCATATTTTCTTCTAACAAAAAGATCTACACAAAACCTGACATTGCACAGCAGTTTGAATTACAGGCTGAAATTATACTCATCTATAAATTATTCACTAACACTAGGCAATGGTGTGTGAAAACCACATTGAAAAGTTGGCAGAATGAATAAGATTTTTCTTAAATAAGTAGATGGCAGGGTTTTTGCTTTATTGCATCTTCATCTTTAAAGTGCAGGGATCTTTGATATACGTTGCTCAAAATACTGAAACCAGAAATTCATTTTTTAGATAAAGCTATCATTCTTAATGCAGCCATTACTTTCTGAAATGGATCTTCTCCATTTTAGAAGTTTATTTATAATTTTAGACTCTCTTGAACAGAAAGCACTGTGGTTCTATTCCTGGCAAATTCCCCGAAGGTAGTCATGAGAAATGTGGCAGTCAGTCTGTGGCTCTTTTGGGCCTGCTAGTATGACACATTTAAGTGAAGTCATAATTAGACTATTACAATGGATTGCATAGAAGGCTGCATCTGAAAACTACTCAGAATGTTCAGCCTATAATTCATAGCCTTACTGGTAGTTGTTGTGTTGTACTAACCCATGAATTAATTCATGGTTTTCCAAGCTTTTGGCTTGCCTGGGCCACAATGAGTGAAGAGGAATTTTCTTGGGCTGAATATAAAATACATAGTTAGTGTATATAAATTAGAAGTTCCTTTATTTTTTATATTTTTATTATCTTGTGGCACTGCATGACACAGGCCGTAGGTTGGACACACCTGAATTAATTCAGAATTTTTGTTCTTGTTCATGATGATAATGAAAAAATTCCCTGTCTATCTGCATGCATAACTCAGTAACATCATATTTATTTCAGGAACTTTACCTTTGCCTAATTAGGTTGCAACAGCTGGTGGATCTTGACTGAAAAAGTTAAGCAGGGTCAGACATTGTTAATAGTAGAAAGCTGAAGGACAGACTCGAACAGTTTATATTTGCAGAGGCCCACTCTGTTATACAGAAGCTAGAGTCACCTTTGTTGTCTCTTGAAACTTCTCCAGAAAATGAATCCTCTAGAGGAAGATGCATGGAAATTAACAGTATTGGCTCTTCTGTCTTGCATTTAACATGTATTTTTGGGAGGTGAGTGTTCTTCCAGAACTTTGGACAACTTGCAGACAAGAAAAGAAAAAAGTTTCTCCTTTTTTTTTTTTTGTAACAGCCAGTTAACGCCATTTGTTTTCTAATATCTGCCATCCCGCCAAACCTCCTTCTAGCAGGACACTACCCAATCAGGTAATTAGCAAGGTAAGAAATAAAAAAAACCCAAACCCACTATTTTAGTAATAATGTTTTGAACCTATTCTTCACAGTTGACTTAATAGGATCCTCCCAGTGGTGGGATTCAGGCAAACCAGTTGTTAAATTACCCACCCACACCCACCCCTACTATCAAAGTGGATCCTAGGTGTTGCGCTGTGCTACAATGGAGAAATGGGCAATGGAGCGGCTGGTGTGAGGGAAGCAGAAGGCCACTTTTCCTCATTCTTCTCCCTGCTCCTCCTCCTTCCCTCATGCCAGCCGCTCCACTATCCATTTTTCCATTGCAGCACAGCGCAGTACCCAGGATCCACTTTGATAGCGAGGAGGGGTAATAATTTGCCTGGCCAAACTAACCCTGCAATCTCCCCTACATTGGGCCCAGTTTTACTGCCAACTTAATTCCTCCCCCCCCCTCTTACTTTTGCTCGTAGGCTGACCAACACCCCCTGCACGCAACTCCATGGGGAAGGGGAAATCCCTCTCTCCACTTCCCAATTCTTCACCTTCCCGCATGAGCTCTCAGGAGCATCAACTCCTTGTCTCTATGGTAACCCTCCCTCCTCATTCCTTGGATACCTCAGCTCTTAAAGGAGCAGTCCAGAAAGCTGAAACAGCGGTGAAACCAATGTGCAAACAAGCCTGGGAAACAGCCTTTTGGCAAAGGGTGGAAATTTAACAACCGGTTCGCCCAGGGCCAGGTTGCCTGTTGTGGAAGACTTGTCCCACATGTGCGGCAGAACTGGAGAACGGGGATAGGCCATGCCTCCCATGACAGTCAACCTGACTCTGGGTGAACCAGTTGTTCAATTATTTGAATCCTACCACTGGATTCTCCCCTACATAGTAGTGCTTAAATGTTTGTGAATCTGGGACTTCTGGTCTGGAGCCGCGGCGCCACAGTCGGGGAATTAGCGGGCTCTAACGAGCCCGCGGAAACCCCGACTGACGAACCGCTGTCCGATCGGTCTTCGGACCGACCCCCATCCTGCAGGGATGGGGGGTGAAGAGGAGCGCCTCGGTGGGCCAAGAGGAGCAGGCAAGCTCCTCAGAGGCCAGAGGGAATCCTCAAAGTCGGCGGCGGGGGTAGGCAGCCATGGCGGCTGCCACGAAGCCGTGGCAGATCGGGACACAAGATCGGGCAGGAGGAAGAAGAAAGGGCAAGAGTTTCAAAGCCGGGTGAGTGACACCAACCCAGGCAATAAAGATTACTTGGAATATTTTTTAAAAAAAATAAGACCCCAGCCTTAAACAGCGGCTATAGATCCGTGGGGCTTGAAGTTTTAAAAGAAAGGAGAAAAAAAATGGAGCCCCGAGACAAACTTTGCAGTAATTAAATTGGCTTAGAAAAACTTGTTCTTAATAATTTGGAAAATTGGACTTTTTATTTCTATTTTTTGGAGTGGTTTGAAGAAATAATTTCTTGGGAATTTAAACCAGTGAAAGTTAATGAAGTTAATGAAGATTGACAGATGGGTGGTTACAAAGTTGCCATGAAGTCTGCGGTGACTAAACAGGAAAGTGGATTGAAGAGATTTTATTTTCTGCTTGGAAAAGGAATATCCCAATTGGCTTTCTATTTTGGATTATTATGACTACTTTGGAATTAATTTTGGACTAATGGATTTTGGAAATTTCTATCCTGTTTTGGGTGATTTTAAGAAGAAAGAACCAGGACTTTTTCTATAATGGAAACTTACAGACTTAGCAAAAAGAAGGTGTGGTACATGAACAAAGACAGGAAGTGAAGACATCATGTTTGAAGCAGACATTTATAAGAGCACTAAAGTGATATACAGAACTTTTAATTTGAATAGATGAACTTTGAAGTGGAACACATGGACAGACAGGAAAAAGAAGAAATAAAATAGATTTAAATTAAATGTAACTAAATTGTATGTAATGTTTTAAAGCCTAAAGGGTTCTTTTTTTTTCTTTTCTTTTTTTTGGATTAACAATAAAGGGAAAAATAATAAATGGCAATTGAAATAGGGATTTATGTACTAAATGGTTAAAAATTACAATGAGAAGTGTATACTAATGTGAGATAACTTTAAGAAAATTTATTATTTGTTGTAACATGTCTTAACTATATTTTGCAAACAAAGCTAGACTGTTGACTATGATTGATTAATATATTATTGAATGAAACTATGAAATACACAGATGATAGAGATAAATTGTGATTTAATTTAACAAATATGGGAAATGATGATTATTATGAAACATAATGAGAATTAACTTTGATGAATATGCTGAGACAAGATTAAATAGATAATTATGATGCAAGGGAAAAACAAAATAATGAGGTGAAGGATACTAACTAGATAAGAGTTAGAGACTCGGAGGAAATAAGTGGGAAAATAATTAAAATGCTGGAAATCAGCCAAACAATGGCAGGAGAGTTGAAGGAGACTATGCTGGAAATCAGCCAACATAAAATGCTGGAAATCAGCCAACAAAATGCTGAAATCAGCCAAACAATAGGAGGAGAGTTGGAGAAAAATATGCTGGAAATCAGCCAAACAATGGAAGGAGTTCTGGAGGAGATTATGCTAAGAAATTAGCCAAATAAAATATGCTGGAAGTCAGCCAAATAATAGGAGGAGAGTTGGAGAAAAATATGCTGGAAATCAGCCAAACAATGGAAGGAGTTCTGGAGGAGATTATGCTAGAAATTAGCCAAATAAAATACGCTGAAGTCAGCCAAACATTGGAGGGAGTATGGGAGAAGATTATGCTAGAAACTAGGTATCTTAAAAGAGTTGATAATTTGGAGAAGGAATAAGTAATATGTTTTTGTGATAAAACTGTGTAATATGTGGGATATTAGATTGGAAAGTCTAAGACATTTTGATTTGATAAAAAGGGTCAAGTAACTAAGATGTTGATAAAATTGTGTTTTATAAATCTTAACAAAATGGAGATATATTGAAACTGAATTTGATAATTTTGGTGATAACATTGTAAGGTATATATCTAGAACAAGAGACTAGAATATTGTTAATAATTATTTGGATAATTGATGAGATATAGATACAGAGATAAGGAGTTAAAATTTAATTTGAAGTTAAAATTGTAGTGATATATTAGATTTGTTTAGATGAATGTGTTAGAATTTTATGTTTAGATTGGTTTTTCTTTTTTTTTCTTTTTTTTTTCTTTTTTCTTTTCTTTCCTTTCTCTGTTTTAAATTTTAAATTGTTTTAAATTTTTTAAAAAAAGATGTTATGGAAAAGGGGAATAGAGCGTATCAAAGAATGTAAGCATGTTAACCATCTATGACCGGATTGAAACTCTATTCTTGAAAGTTATATTTTATGTTTATGTTTGAGAAAAAATAAAAAAAACATTTACAAAAAAAAAATGTTTGTGAATCTTTTTGAATTTTCAATATTTCTGCATAAATATGACCCAAATCCTGATCTATTCTCCACACAAAGCCTAAAGGTAGATAACGAGAACCCAAGTAAAAGAGTCAAAACCTTTATATTTGTTCATTTATTTTCCTGAAGAAAATGATCTAAAGCTGCATATTTCTCTATGACAAAATTATGTGAAATACATACATTAATATTGCCCAAATATTATCTTTTTTGTGCAGACATTTATGCAATCATTGTATATATATATATTTAGGAGAAAAATCTTTATAGGCACATATGTATCCGCTTTAACTAAAGACCCACAATCCTGAATGGTGCTATCTTCGTAATGCTAGAAGGGAAATATTTTATAAGCAATAAAAAAATACAGAGTTTAGTCTATTCATATTCTTTGTGAAGAGGCATGTTAAAGACCCATTTCCCAAAATTTAGTTTCTGAATTAATTCTCCTCTGATGTGCTGTTAGTTGGCAAGAAACTGTTTGGCCTTAAGAATTCAAATATTATATTTTTTTTCCTCTGTGATATATTGAGAGATTAAGTAGGGGAATTGGCACAAGGGGGGGAAAAACCCACTTTTTTCTCTTCCTGATTCAAATTTGCTCTGAGACATCTGTGATCACCACAGAGTCTTCATATAACAACTGCCAGAAGAACTGCTAACTCTCTCAAGGCTACAAAGTCCTATTAATATTTTAACATTTTAATATTTAATAATATTTTAACAAGCACAATGCTACCAGGAGAAATCCACAAGTAGCTACAGCAGTAAAGAACAGGTGAGAAGAATTGAGGGCAGCCATTGAGGATAAAAACTTCCCTATGAATAGGTTGATTTACCAACCTAAATAGATTTCCTGAAAAATAGACATACTGAGATACAATTCCACTTCAAAAATTGTACTCTTGCATTTTGACTGGAACATGTCCAAAAGAGAGAAAACATGAATGTGATAGCATATAGTAATGTCCAGGGGGGAAATCTAATTTTTTTTGCTACCGGTTCTGTGGGCGGAACTTAATTAGTGGGCGGGGCTTGGTGGTAAGGTGACTGGGAGGGCGTGGCTTGTTGGTCAGGTGGGCGTAGCCAAGTCAATGTCACTTCTTTGCCCTTTTTAAACTACAAAACACAACACAACACAACTGGCTCACCCACAATATAAAAGCTGTGCTAGACCCAAAATGGCTCCTGCAACAAGCAGGAACCTCACACAGCCACAAAAAGCCCAAAAAACCAACTTTCACACTTTACACACACACAACACAACACAACACAACTGGCTCACCCACAATGTAAAAGCAGCTGTGCTAGACCCAAAATGGCCCCTGAAACAAGCAGGAACCTCACACAGCCACAAAAAGCCCAAAAAAACAATTTTCACACTTTACACACACACAACACAACACAACACAACACAACACAACTGGCTCATCCACAATGTAAAAGCAGCTGTGCTAGACCCAAAATGGCACCTGCAACAAGCAGGAACCTCACACAGCCACAAAAAGCCCAAAAAACCCACTTTCACACTTTACACACACAAAATTCCACATACAGCTTTGTGAGATTTTGTGTATTTGTGTAGTTAGAGTGAAACACTACAGAAACACACTAAATCTCAGAGAGCTGCACAAATATTATTTTATTTTAATTTATTTTTATATAAAAGCAGCTAAATTTAAAACTTCCTAAACTTTAAATGGCTAGATCTAAAAAAAGAACTACTAAAAAAACCCCAATTAACTATTTTTTTAAAGCTCCCAAAGGGGAAAAAAACTTATCCAATAGAACAGGGGTCTCCAACCTTGGCAACTTTAAGACTTGTAGACTTCAATTCGCAGAATTCCTCAGCCAGCTTTGCTTTGCTGGCGGAGGAATTCTGGGATTTGAAGTCCACAACTCCCTGCCTGCTTGATTGCAGGCAGAGAGATTCAGTTGCTTGCTGATGCAATGGATTGCAGGGATTACAGCAAGGTGTTGCGACCAGCAGCTAAGGTAAGCAATCGTCAGAGCCATTTAAAAGGAAAAAAGTTTTTTTCTTTTACATGGCTCTGGCGATCCAAGCTGAGTTGCTGATTAGCAGGCAACTCAGCTGGGATCATCAGAGCTTGCCTCGTCAGAGCCATTTTAAAGAAAATAAAGGCTCTGATGATCGCGCGGCTCAGCTGGGCATGGGGGGCGGGGGCAGGGATTTTTGCTACCAGTTCTCTGAACTGCCCGCCGCCATCGCTACCTACTCTCCTGAGCCGGTCCGAACCGGGAGCATTTCCCCCCTGCTATTGTCCAAGTTTGAACCTGTACCATGGTAATAAGAGTGGTCATATTTTGTGCCATATAGTGGAGAATTTTATCTAAATCCTTCCATTCTTCCACCATTCAATCGGAATTGAAGAACCTTCTTGGATGAGAAGCAAAATGTCTTCAAGGAAAAACAAAGAAAGCTCAGTTGCCTTTCGCACCTTTGGGACAACCATGACTTGGATGACTGAGAATCTCCATAAATATCTGTCTGTGTCTGTGTGTCTGCATGTACAATATAGAAACACACTCGTACAATCTTATATGAATATGAGAGGCAGTATGGTGTGATGATTAGGTACTGGAGTAGAATCAGTAGTGGGTTTCAATTTTGGCCGCTACCGGTTCGCTCGTGGGTGTGCACACGATGCTTCTGCACATGCACAGAGACATCTAGGTGGGTGGATGGAGCCTCCCACCACCACTACCAGTTCGCCAGATCCGTGGCGAACTGGTAGCAACCCACCATGAGTAGAATGTAGGTGACCCAAGATTTTTTAGGCACAGAAGCCACCTAAGTGACTTTGTGTTCATCATTTTCTCTAACTTTTAGACTGGGAAGCTGCAGTTCTAGGTGACTGGAAAGCTTCAAAACATCCATCCACCAATTTGCACTGGACCAGCACTGTAAATTACAGTCCAGAACCTTTAACCTTCAATAAAGATTGATGTGGGTTAATCACCACATATGCATGTGTATACTTCATTATATACTATACACAGACCAGAGATGTAGAAGAGGTCTCTTGGTATCTGAAGGCTCTCAGAGACCAGTTGGGACAACACAAGCTTAAATTTAATCCCAACAAGATGAAGGTAATCCTTGTATGTAAACAGTTGGTTTTATTCCAGATCTAAAAGTAGTTTGGAACAGGATTGCACTCCCCTCAAAAAGCAGGTCTACAATTTTGTGTTCGCCTAGACTTGGGTCTTACTTGAGCAGCAACTGCAGGCACTACTCTGGAAGCCTTTGCCCAGCTTCAGTTACTATGCCAGTAATCGCCTTTCTGGGACCTAAGAGTCCTTACAATATAAAATGATAGTACTATAATCTACTGAATCTTTGACTGTCTTTGAAACTGCTGTTAATTCATAATACAGCTGGTAGGTGAGTCACCTTAGCAAGCAACTGTACTATGGTGCTGTATTCATTGCCAACAGATTTCCAAATCCAATTCCATGTGCCTATATATTCCTTGAAAACCCTTCAGTTCAGG